GCCTGTATTCCCAGCTACTCGAGAGGCTGAGGCAAGAGAATCGCTTGAACCTGGGAGGTGGAGGTTGCAGTGAGCCAAGATCACACCACTGCACTCCAGCCTGGGTGACAAAGCAAGACTCAGTCTCAAAAAAAAAAAAAAAAAAAAAAGCTAATTTTATTCTGTGACCTTGTCTCTCAGGAATGATTATCCCTGAAACAAAAGAATTCTTGTACAGTGTCCCCTGCCCCAGAAATCACATATGGGTGATGGGCATCTTGGAAGTGGTTTTTTGTTTAAGACCGAGTCTTGATCTTAAACTCCAGAGCTTTATGTCTTTTCTGTCACATCCCATTGATGCTGGGGCACAGGTTGAGTTCTGTCTCCTGAGGAGCAGCACCTTGAAGTAGTCACCAGTTTGCCTCCTTTTTTTTTTGAGATGGAGTTTTGCTCTTGTTCTCCAGGCTGGAGTGCAGTGGCACAATCTCGGCTCACCACAACCTCTGCCTCCCCAGTTCAAGTAATTCTGCTGCCCCAGCCTCCCAAGTAGCTGGGATTACAGGCATGAGCCACCACGCCTGGCCAATTTCGTATTTTTAGTAGAGATGGGATTTCCCCATATTGGTCAAGCTGGTCTCAAACTCCTGACCTCAGGTGATCCACCCGCTTCAGTCTCCCAAAGTGCTGGGATTACAGGCATCAGCCACCGCACCCGGCTTTTTTTTTTTTTTTTTTTTTTTTGAGACAGTCTTGCTCTGTTGCTGAGGCTAGAGTACAGTGGCATGATCTCAGCTCACTGCAACCTCCGCCTCCCAGGTTCAAGCAATTCTCCTGCCTCAGCCTCCCAAGTAGCTGGGATTACAGATGCCTGGTACTGCACCTGGCTAATTTTTGTAGTTTTAGTAGAGACAGGGTTTCACCATCTTGGTCAGGCTGGTCTCAAACTCCTGAACTTTTGATTTACCTGCCTCGGCCTCCCAAGGTGCTGGGATTACAGGCATGAGCCACCACACCTGGCCACCAGTTTGCCTTTTGGTGTCCGAGACTCCAAAACAACTTTTTGTCAGCACATGGAGAACAGACCGCCCTCTTGAGGAAGCTGGGCACGTGTTTATCAAGTTTAGGAATCTGAGATATAAAACCAGGCTAGCTCATTGCAAAGCTTAAAAAAAAAAAAAAAAGAAAAATACCAAAAAATAGGCTAATGTGTTCTATGTCAACACAAAAACGGTCACTGGACCCAGGATTGCAGGGAGCGACCCTGCTTCCTTCTCTTTGCTAAGTTGCATACGTATATTTACTCCTCCCTAAATTCTGTGAAACAGGCTACTGCGATCTCCACTTTACAGATAAGACACCAGAGGTATAAAAAGGTGATGTGGTTCCCCAGGCTCACATCCCCTGAAGTGAAAGAGTTAGGACTTGGGCCAGGTACAGTGGCTCACACCTGTAATCCCAGCACTTTGGGAGACCAAGGTGGGTAGATCATTTGAGGTCAGGAGTTCGAAACCAGCCTGGCCAGTATGGTGAAACCCCACCTCTACTAAAAAGACAAAAATTAGCCAGGTGTGGTGGGGGGTGTCTGTAATCCCAGCTACTTGGGAGGCTGAGGCAGGAGAATCGCTACAACCCGGGAGGGGGTGGAGGTTGCAGTGGGCGGAGATGGCGCCATTGCACTCCAGCCTGGAAGACAGAGGGAGACTCTCTCTCAAAAAACAAGCAGACAAACAGAGTTAGGACTTGAACCCAGGCCACGAGTCCCACATGACTCTTCACCTCCAAACCTCCACACACAAGACAGGCATCTGTTGCCTTAATTAGCAGGTTGCTTGGTGAGCAAGCTGATTAGAGGAATTGCACATGCAGTTCCACTATTTGCTTCCCTAGATACTTCTCCGTAGGATGTATTTGTCACCGTATGGCCATGTCTTCTATTTTCTGTGTTCCAATGTTTTAACACCTGGGGCATGCTGAGCCTGGAGGGACAGCTCCTCCCACGGTCAGCTGATTCCTTGGCTTAGTAAACAGCTTGTCCTTGAACACAGCTCTTCAAAAGCAAAACAACCCCCACAAAAACAACAAAAGGTTCTTGATTCAACCCCCACAAGAACAAAGCCCACACCCCCAACTGCCTCATTGATTGGGCTCTCTTATTCTGGGTCACCACTCACCTGCCCCAATCGCCCCAGGGACAGTCCCTAAGCCCAGAACCCACTGAAAGTGCTGGCCCTGCTTACACCTTGCCTCACCCTTCCTTCCTGCAGAAACCAGTTCAGACTCTCATTAGGGGCTGGGCACGGTGGCTCACACCTCTAATCCTAGCACTTTGGGAGGCTGAGGCAGGCAGATCACAGGGTCAGGAGTTCAAGACAATCCTGACCAACACGGTGAAACACTGTCTGTACTGAAAATACAAAAATTAGCCAGGTATGGTGGTGCATGCCTGTAATCCCAGCTACGCAGAAGGCTGAGGCAGGAGAATCACTTGAACTTGGGAGGTGGATGTTGCAGTGAGCCGAGATTGTGCCACTGCACTCCAGCCGGGGCGACTGAGTGACGCTCTGTCTAAAACAACAAAAACAAACAAACAGAAATTAGCTGGGGGTGGTGGCACATGCCTGTAATTCCAGCTGCTTGAGAGGCTGAAGGCAGGAGAATCACTTGAATGGAGTTTCGCTCTTGTTGCCCAGGCTGGAGTGCAATGGCACGGTCTCAGCTCACTGCAGCCTTCACCTTCCAGGCTCAAGCAATTCTCCTGCTTCAGCCTCCCAGGTAGCTGGGATTACAGGTGCCCACACCACGTTCAGCTAATTAGTAGAGACGGGCTTTCACCATGTTGACCAGGCATGGTCTCCAACTCTTGACTTCAGGTGATCTGCCTGCCTCAGCCTCCCAAAGTACTGGGATTACAGGCATGAGCGACCACGCCCAGACCCAAATTAAATCTTTTTTGAAAATTATTTTTCTATTCTTTGTTCCTCTAGAGACCAAATTAAATCTTACATGGATCCTCCCCTACCCCTTATATCAAGGGACAGACTGTGATTTCATTAGCATACATTTATTTTATGAGTTCATATTTGTACAACAGAGCATCTCAATCACAAAGAACAATGAAGAGTTTTAGCTGAACCCACTTTTGAGGTCAGGGGTTTACAGAGGCCAGATGCAGCCCTCCAACAGCCGGCACATTCAATTTACTTGGGAATTTTTGCTTGGGATTTGCCCTACCAGTGATGTCTTGACTCAGTTAAGTAGCTTCAAATGGTGACAGTTTTACATGACAACTTGCATTGCAGTCCCAAAATACACTTTGACTTGTCCAGAAAATCTTGAAAGCAAAGTGGTAGGATTTTGATTTCATGGGTGACATTGAACAACCACACACCTGTGTATCACAAATATAAATGTTATACCCCTGAAATCCACAAAAAGCACAAAATACAGTCTTCATGCTGCAGTATGATGAGAAATGTCACACTGTCTCTTATTATACAATGAGCATGCCTTGATGGGAGGCCAGCACGCAACAAACGTGCTGGGGGCTTTTGTAGCATTTATTCAGGCTCAGACTCTGCGTTGCAACAACCAACACAGTAGTACAATATTCTGAGAGTAGGTATGCCGAGGCCAGGGATTTACAAGGAATTAAAAGATCATCAGAGAAGCTGGGCGTGGTGGCTCACACCTGTCATCCCAGCACTTTGGGAGGCTGAGGTGGGTGGATCACTTGAGGTCAGGAGTTCAAGACCAGCCTAGCCAAGATAGTGAAACTCCATCTCTACAAAAAATATGAAAATTGGCTGAGTGTGGTGGTGCATGCCTGTAATCCCAACTGCTCAGGAGGCTGAGGCAGGAGAATCGTTTGAACCTGGGAGGTGGAGGTTGCAGAGAGCCAAAATTGCACATTGCACTCCAGCCTGGACAACAGAGTGAGACTCAGTTTCAAAAATAAAAAAGATCAACAGAGAGCTACAAACTTCTTGACCATGGATTTGCAAGAAGTTCACATAGGTGAATGAAGACAGCAGGAGGTTTACCCCAACCACTGCACAAGAGAAAAAGGTGTTGAACTGAGGCTAGACGGCCAGCTTGGGAAAGGGACAAAAATCAGCCTTCGAGGTTTTAGGTTATGTCCATCAAGTGAATTCTAAAAATTCCTTCTGTTTCTTGGCACTTGCTGGGAATGCAAGAATCTAGTAGGAGTTTCTGCCTGCTTGAAAGTGTGTCTCTTACCTGCACCCTGGCCACCAGGGTAGGGGTATAGAGACAGAACCACTATTTTTTGTTTTTGATAAGGGGATGAAATAGGGGTGACTTCCCAGAAATAAGAAAGGGGGTTGAGGCCAGGTGCAGTGGCTTATGCCTGTAATTCCAGCACTTTTGGAGGCTGAGACAGGTAAATCACTTGAGGTCAGGAGTTTGAGACCAGCCTGGCCAGCATGGTGAAATGCCATCTCTCATAAAAAATACAAAAATTAGCTGGGTGTGGTGGCAGGTGCCTATAATCCCAGTTACTAGGGAGGCTGAGGCAGGAGGATTGTTTGAGGCCAAAAAGTAAAGGTTGCAGCAAGCCGAGATTGCACCACTGCACTCCAGCCTCGGTGACAGAGTGAGACCCTATCTCAAAGAAAAAGAAAAGAAAGTAGGGAGGGAGGGGGGAAGGGGGGGAGGGGGGAAGGGGAAGGGGGAGGGGGAGGGAGGGAGAGAGGGAGAGTTGAATGCTGGAAGTCACAGACATGGCTGACATCCACCACATTGAGACATTAGGGGTCTCTGGCATTACAATTTGGTAGGCTGAGTGTGTGTGTGTAAGTTACATTTTTGAAAAGAGATTCAATCCAAACCTTTGCAGATCCCTGAACTAGCAAAAGTTTGCAAATTGACAGGTCAAGTGTCTCTAAGTAAAGATCTGTCTACTCACATGTATTTGGATTTTACCTAATTTTTAAAGTTCTTCATCTCAGTGTTAACATCGTTCATTGGTAACTCTTGAAAATGGCCTCTTAATTATTTACCTCCTTTTGGACCACTGCCTGGAAGCCTCACCTCTTTTTTTTTTGAGACGGTTTTGCTCTTGTTGCCCAGGCTGGAGTGCAATGGCACCATCTCGGCTCACTGCAATCTCCACCTCCGGGGTTCAAGAAATTCTCCTGCCTCAGCCTCCCTAGGAGCTGGGATTACAGGCATGTGCTACCAACTCCGGGCTAATTTTGTATTTTTAGTAGAGATGGGGTTTTCTCCATGTTGGTAAGGCTGGCCTCAAGCTCCCGACCTCAGGTAATCCTCCCTGCCCCCCCCCCACGCCCCTACCTCAGCCTCCCAAAGTGCTGGGATTACAGGCGTGAGCCACTGCGCCCAGCCACCTCTTCTTTAGAGAGTGGAGTTCACACCTCCCCACCAAGCCAGAGCTTCCAGGATTTAACTTGGCAAGACCTTTATACCCTCATCCCCAGGCGCCAAACTGGGCAGAAGGGTCCCACCTCTGACCGCTTCTGTAAGAGACTCAGCGTGTAGAGAATGGCGACAGCTTTTCAAGAGCCATTTACAGATCAGCAAGTTCCTCAGAGGTGGAGAGCAGGCAACTCACTCTCACCCGTGGTTTCTGCTTGATATGCGCAAAACAGGGTATCCCACTCCGGACAAGTTTGTGCCCGAGTTACATTGAAGGTACATGCTTTTGAAACACAGAAAACGGCTCTAGACTTTACAATAACAGGATTTCCAGGAGGGCGCACTGCTAGAGGGGTCTGTGCCGCCAGCCTCCCCCCAGCAGGAGAGGCAGTCCCAGCATCAGGCCGCGGGTGACAGCCGAAGGGGAATGGCGGCGTTTCACCCGAGTAGAGATCTCCCTGACATGTTCCTCCTGGATCTGCCCGGGTTTTCTTCAACTCCAGTAAGAGATCTCCAAAACCTTGGAATCCGGGACCCTGTTGTCCCCTCCTCCATTTTCTGCAAAGGGCGCAGGCGCCTGGGGGAAAAGCCTTGGTCTCCATAGCAACGGTCAGACGCGCTGCTAGCCTCTGGCTCCGACTGCGCCTGCGCGGCTGGTCCCGCCGGGTCTCCCGGGTGGCGGAAGATGTTTGTAGGTAGGTCTTTGAGACCCTTCTTCACTTACAAATTACTCTCATCCACTCAAATGATACCGATACGCATATTAGGTGTTACTCGCACACTCTCAAATATTACCCACAACTGCTCTCAATTATACACGGATGCTACCCGCACTCACTAATGTGTATTCAGGTAACCCAAATGCTACCTGTACCTACTCAAATATGTAGTATGACAGTCATGGGCAAGGTGTTGGTCTGTTTTATTCCCCTTCTGTATCCCCAGAGCCTGGCACACAGTAGGGCCTCAGGAAATTTTGTTGGTTGAAGGAGTAATCCACACTCAACCAGATTTTGTGAACATTCAACTGTTACCCACATCTACTCAAATGCTACCCTACGCTCACTCCGATGTCTCCAAGTAATTTAAATATTACCCACTTACTCTGAGTGCCATGAAGGCAGGGATTTTTGTTGAGTTTACTCCCTTCCGTATCCCCAGCTCCTAGAATAGTACCTGGGACATAATAGGTGCACAGTAAATATCTGTAGGATGAATGAATGAGCCAAGGGTAGCCAGAAGTTAACCACACACACTCAGATGTAACTCACAAGTTAGTTAGCTCAGATAAAGATATTTCACACTAGTCAGATGTTACCTGTGCTATCCAAAGGATGCCCATTCTCGCTCAAAAGTTACTCATTCACTAGAGTCATTCCTGTCCTCACTTGTATTACCCACTCACTCATACTCCTTAAATGTACTCACGTGGTACCTACCCTCCCACGGTCACCCCCCACGCCTGCCCAATGCCACCACCACCTCACAGCTTCTTGTCCGAGGCGTGACGCCGCCGGCGGTTTTTCTTGTTCTTCCTTTTGCCCCTCTTGCCGTCTCCAGCCTTGCTCTCCTTCTCCGAGGAGTCCGGAGGTGGCACCACGTCCATCCGGACAGTGGCCGCAGCCTCCGGCTTCTCCCCCAGCCCAGGCACACGGCACTTCCTTGCAGGCAGCTCTCCGGGGCCCGTCTCTGGGAGACACAGTTCCTGCCTCAGGACCCGCGCCACATCCTCGACCGTCCTCCCTTCGCTCTGCAGAAAGAGGTTCAGCTTGGTCAGGAATTCGATGTCCTGCTTCCGGGGCATGTAGACCACTCTCCACACACCGCCCTTGCCCTTGATCTCCCTGGGGACCACGGCGTAATTGATGTCCTCCGTCAGCTCAATGATGGCCGCCTTGGATTTATCTTCTTCCAGATAGGCCTTCCCAGCCACTTCGAACTTGCCTAGAGGTTTGAGGGGCAGCCGAATAATCTCTTCGAATTCCTCATGGTTGCAGTCCTCGGGAATCCCCAGGATCATCAGGGACTTGTGACTGTCCACCTCCAGGGCCTTGCACCCATGCTCCAACAGGGCAATGTCCTTCACGCCAAACAGCATCTTCCCCAACTCTTTGAGGCAGCAGTATGCCCGCTGACGCACACCTGAGCTGCCTCGGGAATCCACGGAAGTATCCAGGTTGCCGGGATTCCTTCCCAAAGGCTAGGAGAGAGAGTGAGGCCTCAGGGGCCAGAGGCCGCTCCCAGGCCCCCTTCGTCCAGCTCAGTGAAGGATGCCCCCAGCCCCTGCCTACAGGGCTGTGCAGTGACAATCAGGGCTTCCGTGGCTCCCTCTGAGTGGGGTCGAAGATTCCCAGGGACTTACGCGTGCTGGGGAAGCAGAAGGCGGCGTTTGCCACCTGACTCGTGGCTCCCGGGTCCTGGGCGAGGCTGCACCGAGGAGGGTCTTAAGACGATGCTTCCCTTTTCTTGGCGTGGCCTCCAAAGGTCTCGCAGGCCCCAACAGTCTCTGCGGATCTGGGACTGCTGATCTCCACCAATGGAGTGTCGTGGGTGGGGCCCTGACCGGCCGGGAGGCGCGTCCCTCACCGCCAGCCCAGAGATTGCCCTAAGTGCCCTGTGGCCAGACTAGGACGAGATGTGGCCGCTGCACTTGCTCCCGCTGTGACGTCACCGTCTCCTTCCGCTCTGAGGCCTGGAGGTCTCCATGGCAACCGCTGGAGCATCGCCTCTGCCATTGGCCGCCTGGTCGCATTGAAATCAAGAGTCTGAGGGGGTCATTCGGAGGTGAGGGGTCGACCATCAGCCATCAGAAGTGCCCGTGATTCTCCTTTGAATAATAGCTGATTCCAGGGGCGAGGGGACAGGGAATATACAAGAGGCACCCCGGGAATATTTTGGGGTCAGAAACTAAGGAAGTACTTTTAAGAAAATGAGGAGAACACCTGGAAAGACCCAGGAACCGGCGTGAAAGGCTCCCACTGGCCAACCCTGGGACAATTTGAGCATCAACGTTAAAAATAAAAGTAACCGATTATAACCCCTTGAATAAAATTAGAATCTATGAGTTTATGTAGATTTAAGTATATTAATGGAAAGTTTGGTGAGGAATGTGAACTAGCACATTGTCTCAAAGTACCTGCCCATATAATACTCATCAAAAGGAACAAACGTCTGTTTACAGTGGAATATTCTTGCTTGTAGGACGGACACACACACACAATATGATATTCAGAACAATATGACAATTTACACAACACTCAAAATGCTTCAGGGGAGAAAACTTTTTTTCTTTTTTTTGAGACAGTCTCCCTCTGTTGCCAGGCTGGAGTGCAATGGCACAATCTCAGCTCACTGCAACCTCCACCTCCTGGGCTCAAGCGATTCTCCTGCCTCAGCCTCCCAAGTAGCTGGGACGACAGGTACCTGCCACCACCCCTGGCTAATTTTTGTGTTTTTAGTAGAGATGGGGTTTTACCATCTTGGTCAGGCTGGTCTCGAACTCTGGCCTCAAGTGATCTGCCTGCCTTGGCCTCCCAACATGCTGGGATTACAGGCATGAGCCACCAGGCCCTGCCCAGTACTGCCTTGGGACCCAAGAGTCCAACCCCTTGTCAGGAGCCACATATTCTGATCCCCCGTGTGGGTGAAGAGCCCATGGGGTTGGGGACATGGGCTTCCTTGGAACCCCCACCTCCCCTTCTGGATCATGCTCTGGTACCAGGGCCCAGAATTCCTTGCTGTAGTGACCTGAGCCACTTCCAGGACACGTGCGGGCATCTTCCGCAGCTGGACAGCAGCATTGTGGTACATATATCCAGCCTCAGTGGATGGCCCTAGGCCCGGAATTGGAGTTGAGAGGGAATGAAGCATGGAGGTGCCTGCCGGGGCATCTACCACATGCACACAGGACCCTTACTGGTGCGACAGGACTGGGTGGTGTATGCATTTCCTGTGGCTACTATAACAAATTACCGCAATCTTAGTGGCTTCAACGAAAGTATATTTTTAAATTTGGATAGTTATGGAGATCAGAAATCCAAAAATAAGTTTTATGGAACTGTATTAGGGTTCTCCAGAGGGAGAGAACTAATAGGGTCTATATCGATATAAAAGGAGTTTATTTTTTATTTTCATTTTTATTATTTTTGAGACGGAATCTCACTCTGTCGCCAGGCTGGAGTGCAGAGGTGCGATGTTGGCTCACTGCAACCTCTGCCTCCCGGGTTCAAGCAATTCTCCTGCCTCAGCCTCTGGAGTAGCTGGGACTACAGGCACGCGCCACCCTGCTCAGCTAATTTCTTTATTTTTAGCAGAGACAGGGTTTCACCATGTTGGCCAGGATGATCTCAATCTTTTGACTTCATGATCCACCTGCCTCAGCCTCCCAAAATGCTGGGATTTCAGGCGTAAGCCATTGCACCTGGCCGAGATTTTTTTTTTAAGTCTAATTTTGTCATAAAAAATTTCCCATTCAAGCCAGATGCAGTGGCTCATATCTGTAATATCAGCACTTTGTGGGGGCTGAGGTGGGCAGATTACCTGAGGTCAGGAGTTTAAGACCAGCCTGGCCAACATGACAAAACCCCATCTCTGGTAAAAATGCAAAAATTAGCCTGGTTTGGTGGCACCTGCCAGTAATACCAGCTACTTGGGAGGCTGGGGCAGGAGGATCACTTGAACCTGGCAGGCGGAGGTTGCAGTGAGCCAAGATTGCGCCACTGCACTCCAACCTGGACAACAGAGTCAGACTCTGTGTCAAAAAAAAAAAAAAAAAAATCACATTCAACTCCATGCCATGACCCCTTTAATACAAAGATGAAGTAAAATACGCTATCCAAAATTTTTGCCCTGAGTTTATGAATACCTCTATTGCATACTCCTGGGTTTATGCATGTCCCAGATTGAGAAGCAAGGGAAAGAATGGTCCATTTATTTGATCCACCAGGATTTACTGAGAAGTGCCCTTGTTGCAGGCTTGGGGTAACGTGCTGGGCATACTTGAGCGAGACAGGCTCTGCTGTGAGGAGCTCAGTCCAGCAGTTATGACAGGCTACCTCCGTCTGTTTACTGTCAGGAAGAGAAGCCCTATAATTTCCATGAACATGTGTTCTGATCCCTGGTGTGGGGTATAGAACACAGAGTATATCAAGTGGGCTTAGTTTTCCTGGAACAGGTTTTACTAGAGCTTAAAGAGAGAACTGCATCAAGTCCTTTGGGGGCCCTGAGATGCCTGACTGCATCCATCACTGTATCAATAAACCTTTTATTCATTCACCCTTCAACAGCTCTGATTAATTCTCCATAAAGGAAGTCATCTGTCTGGTCTCATCTGGCAAGGCTTCCCAGAGGAGGTGACATTTGAGAGAAATCCTGATGGATGCATGTAATAACCACAGAATAATACTATTTTAAAAAGTAGTAACTGTTAACTTTTGCATAAGGCATACTAAAATATTCTGAGCTTTTTATGTGTACTAAGTCATCTAATTTTTACAACAGTCCATGTGTTATTGATT